CCAACAAAGTGTGTACTCTGTATTGGTTCCAAATATTATAGCTCAGTACAGAAGATATAATTCATGTTAAAACCACAGTAAAAAACATAACTTGAAACTTGCTTTGTAAGGTTTGCAGGTTCACTTAGATATCTGCTTCAATGTTGAGATACTTGGTTGTGGATATAATTCTGTTCTGTAAGCCTGCTCTCATTTTGCATTCAAGAGCTTTCGAGGTCTATGTTTAGTGCATCAAGAATTTTTTTACCATATTTTGGGTCCAATGGCCTCTCCACAGTTCCAGAATTGACTAATTGGGTTCAAGTCTCAGGGTCGTTACTCCTCCTACCCCAAGAACAGATACTCAAATGGCAGTGTAGTAACTGCTTATTTTAAAAAAAAGGTGAAATGGACTAACTGGGTGAGACCCTATATTTCAACCGTATTAAATTAAATGGAGAATTGATTCTTAGACAATGTTTTCTTGTTATAAAGTCTTAAGACAATCAATTAATATTTTTTTGAGAATATTTTAGTAGTTAAGATTTTAAAAGTTCATGTTAAAGATATTTTAAATTTAAATTTTAAGATCAGTAGAGAGGAGATTGAGAAGGAAAGTGCAGTCTCCTATTATATAGTCAATTATCCAATATAAAAAAAATGCCAATTAATTACACGGTATCAGAGCAACTTTAGTTATTACAAAAACAGTTCATCCTTATTAGGGGCTTATTTGTCAATGAAAGAAAGTTGAAGGACGGGTTTTAAATTTATTTTAGCGTGATTGGTTTGGGCCAATATTGAGAGGACTTGACCCAACCTAAGGGTCAAGACTGGTTAAGATCCGGCCCACCCCACTACTGTAAACTTTTACTCACACTAATTTTGCTCTTTCCTCCTATTCCCTGCTAGTAGCATAAAAGGTCGAAGCAGTCAAGCTCTGCCTCCGAACTCCAAATCACTCGAGATCTACTTTTCTTCCATTTATTTTTATCTCCGATCAGTTTCCGGTGCTAATTTCAAGCTCTCTTCTTACTTTGGGGAAAGTCTCCTCTCCCACAAAAATGACGAATCAAAGCGAATTCCGTCACCGTCAGAAACCGCCTTGTCCGTCTCTTTTACACTTCGGTTTACATCGGACTCATCACTCTCGCTGAGTCGGCGATGCCGTTTTTCGTCGATTTCGTGTCCATTTGCTGTGCCGTCGGGTTCACTCTGCTGGATTTCGTCTTCCATACCTTGGCATTCCTCAAAGCCGGGAAGTTGCCCCGAAACAGAGCGCTTCGTCTCTCAATGCACCTTCTCAACTTCGCAATCGCCACCTGGTTTTCGGTCGTCCCCGGTTTGGGCAGCGTTGGTACCATCAGATTTATTGTTGAAGATATCATCAAAACTTACAATTTCTTCCATGATATGTAAAATTATAACCCAGAAATTACAGAATTTGCATTTTGGTATTTTACCACTTTCTTTTTCCGATTTCCCAAGCTCGCCTGAGGTGTAACTGTCCCCGAAATTAGCGGAAAATGAGGAAAAAAAACGGCATGTTGTATTGTATTCGTCTTGGCGCGCTTCTTTTTATATATATTTCAAAATTTCTCCTTATGAATAAAGATTCCTTCCCTCTCTTTTCGCGTAACTAATTGCAGTGCATTGAGAGAACCTCTCTGTTCTCCAATGGCGTCGTCTTCTTCGTCTTCATCTCGAGCTCCAGGTTTCTCTCTCTTTTTCTCCTTTTCCTCTTTCTTTCGTTTTCTTTCTCCTTTATGTCATTTGGATTTCCAAGCGAAATCGATTTTTTCATGGCGACTGGCCAGTATCATTAAATGTAGTGCCTTCTCTGTTCTGAAATGGATTTGCAGGAGTGAATGTGGGAATCTTGCTTGATGAGGCATTGAATGGAGACCTGGCATCGTTCAAGTGTAAGATTCTCTACTCCTTTTGCTCTTTCTTTTATTGAATTTCTTGACAGATTGAGACAGGACTTTAATTTCGATACTTTGGAATGGTGAAGCAGTGGCTTTGTCTGGCCTTGACATTCGAAGTCAAGGAGATTTAGCAGAAACGTTGACGAGGATGACGGATAAAAACGGTAGGAACGCTCTGCATTATGCAGCGATCGGAAAAAGAGGAGCACTTCGCATCTGCAGATATCTTGTTGAGAAAGTGAAGCTTGATGTCGATATCAAAGAAAAGAAATATGGTATAACAATCTTATGAAATACTGAATAATTGTTGTGCGTTTCTGTTCTTTTGATATTGAAATCTGTTGGGGTAGTTCGCGGATCTTCCTTGTAGGGATCTTCCCGGTAAAATATTACATCCTCAAATTAACAATACTCAAAAAGAATAATAATTGCAATAAGAGAAATATATTAGAGTTATTAACTTGATAGTGTAGATGTAGATGGGGTATTTATAGCCTCGGTAAATCACAGGGATTAACACGTGTAAATATCCGTTAATCAACGTGCTACTACCTTGGTGGCTGCATCATGACGAGTGTGCCCACCTTTTGGGTTACATTTGGACACCTGTTTGTACAAATGGGTCTGCTGTGCAGGGCCCATTATGTGCGTTGGGTCTATTCCCCAACAAAATCCAAGCTGCTGAAGCATTTTCTATTAATAGGAAATTTGTTTCAATTTCTAGTAGTAGAACTTCACTGTCTCATTCATAAAAGTGCACATATATTGGTATTAGTTCTTTTCTTGTCGCACTGTTCCTTGATTGTTGCAGCAAACATAGATGCACTTAGTTATCTACTTGCATTTTACAGGTCAGACTCCTTTACATATTGCGACTACTGGGAAGTCTTTTCCAGTTGTTCGATATCTTGTTGAGAACGGTGCCAATGTGAATGCTGCAGATCTTTCTGGAAAAACTCCTTTGCTTTATGCTGCAACACTAGGCATGTTAACTACTTTGAAGTGCAAATTGTTTGTTTGTTTGACTTCAGTTGTTCTATTCAACTGTTCTAGCTGAAGTAGGCAGAAGCTATTGTTTTAATTGTCTGTCTATATGTTGGAGTGAATGAATGGATTATGAGCGAACATGGCATTTCAGGTTTGGAGAAAAGATGTGGCCATCAATTATCCCTTCTTTATTTGAACAAATCAGTTATGCTATATCTTGTCCCCCCTGTTGTGACTACATAGCTTAGCCTTAGACTTAGGGTGTTGTATATTGCTCTTGATGTTTTCCTTTTCAATTGTGCTAATAGCTATACTGATGGATTTAATATATAATAAGCCTTCTAAACCTATGGAATTTTGAGGAGCGGGCTGGGTGGTTTGCTGGACCAAAGAAACTTACACAATGTTATGCCTTAATTGTCTGTCTATTGTGGATTGAATGAATTAATGAACTTATGATTTTAGTTTTGAAGAAAAGATGATGCTATCAGTTATTGCCTCTTTTATGAAGAAATCAATTATCATATATCTTGTCCTCTAGTGGTGAATTTGTTGCTTAGCCTTAAGACTTAGTGTAGTATAA